GGGGGGGGGGGGGGCAGGGAGGTAGAATGGCAAACAGACAAAACCTTGAGGCTGTGCAAACACTGCTCAGCGATAGCCAAAACACTGGTGTGTTATCAAAACTGCTTTAGTCACAGATCCAAAACACAGTACCATACAGACTCTTATGGAGAAAGTTAGATCCATCCCAGCCAGACCCAGTACAATTTGTTGCCAAAACAGCTGCCCTTTAGTGGCCCATAATTGTCCTCACTCCTACTTTTAATCACCATACACTCCTCTCCCTTTCAGCATGACTATATCTATTTGTCTTTTTATATGCACTTGCCCTCATAACCTCCTCATCTGCACAACTACGCAGCTTCTGTCACAGCTCTGTTCTTATTGATTCACTTGTGTATTGTTTCTGTTACCTGTTTCTCCCTCATTTTCTGCCTTATTTTCTACCCTGTAAGCATAGCAGTGGGGGGATTGCTGCCTGTCCACCTCAGCTTGCTCACCATTAGACCCTCCACCAGTCATTTCTACTTCTTTCTGGCAGTGTATTTTCTCTCTCCTGCTGTCTGCTCCCAGTCCAACAGGACTTTTTGTTGCATCTTTTGGAAACCTTTCCTTTCACACTCCTTCAGATCATCTGTGTGCTTGTTATCGTCCCCGCCTCTCACTGCTGAGGCAGTTTTGCTGTCCCGCTAGCCAGCTTTTCCATGGGGTCCCTTTGCCACCTCTATTGTACCCTCTTGCATCACCTCATTTTCTCTCTGACTTGCTTCACAGCTTTGTCTTTACCAGATAGTCGTGCCACAGTCATTGCTCCAGCCTGCACTTATTGCCTTATTGTTAACTGTGCTGCTCGTCAGAACCATTTCTCCTCACAGACATGCCTGTTTCCACCTATTCAAGATGCCAAAAATAACCACTGCACTGTTGGTTTTTTACCCTTTTGTCCCAATTTCTTCATCTCCTTCTTTCACCTCCTCTCAAAGCTTCATTTCTTCTCCCTCCCCTTGCTGTCCCTGGTCCCTGCCTCAGCTACACTTTCGCTTTGATCTCTCTTGATGCACTATCACATATCTGTTTTGCAGTGCCAGCCTATCTTTTCACAGCTCTGCTTCCTCCGAGTGCTCCCTTACTGCCCCATCACCCAAACACCACCAAGCCTCTCGATGTTACTTTTCTTGTTGTACTGCTGTCCCCTCTCCTCGCAGACCTGTTAGCCAGCCATTCCCACGCTGCTGCTCCCTTTCCCTTGTAGCTACCTGTCTAGAGCTCCTCTTCATTTTACTCCTGTTCGCTGACTCCTCATCTCCAGCTGTTTTTCTCTATTGCTTTTTTCTATTTCTAGTTCTTCCACCAGCCATGGCTGTGACTCCTCTTCAGCCTATTGCCACCCCATTTATGACCTGCTCTTGCTGTCCCCCTTCCTTTACTGATCTCTCTGCTGTACTTACCTCTGCCTCTCAATCCTTCCACCCCATCGACTGCCTGCTATCACCATCTCTCCTTGTAGCTGGCTTTACTTCTTGCCCAGCACATTTCTCCTCAACAGCCTCTTGGTGTTTCCTCACCCTGGCCATTGCTTGGCTCCCTCCTCATCTGCTGCTTCATCTCCTGCTCTGGCTTTCTCCTCTGGTGGCCCAGCTCTTGAAGTCTCCATCACAGCCTGCTTCATCTGCCTTTCCCAGCTCCATCGTGCCCTGCCTACTCTTGACATATTCTCTCACAGATTCCTTTCTTCCTTGGAGCCTTGCAGCCTCACCAGCAGTCCTCACAGCCCAGCTCCCCTCCTGTCCAAATCACCTTGCTTGTCTATACTACCTGCGGCATGCCAGCACCTCTCAGGCTGTGGGAGATCTCACAGTCCCTTATCAACACTACATTAGTACCTTGTTTTTATAAGCTCCCCAGCTGCCTAACTTTCTGCCTGTTCAGGACATCACCTGTCTTGTTTTCATCCTTCCTTGCCAAACAATTCACTCCCTACCTGCAGTGTCTCCCCTCACACCCCACTTCTTCTCTTTCACCACCTGCCCATGATGACTGCTGATTTTCTCAGCTGCTTCATTTACAGGTTTCCTATGACATCCTCCAAACCCTTTCTTCACTGTCTCTTTTGCTACCACCATGTCCCTTAACTGACACATCCCTCTCCTACACAGTTATCTGCCAATTGCTACACACCCCTCAACTACAGCTCCTTACTGCTGTCCCATTTACTACCAGTAGTTATCTCATCTTCCCCATACACTGCTTCTTCTCACTGTGGGGAAGGAATCTTTTCTGTACATGTTAACCTCCAAGTTTGATTTTTCCTTCACTCTTCTCCACCACCTCATTTCCCACTTTTTCTCACTGCTATTCTTTTTGACTCCATGCTGTGCCTGTCTCCATCACTCTCTTTTGCCTTTCCTGCTTCTGCTTTCTATTTGTCTTTTTATCATCTGGTATTACATCTGCCTGTGGCTTCATGTACCTGCTCATAACCTCGGCCTGTTGCAAGATTATTCAGCCCATTAGGCTTTGCTGCCAGGGATGCTGGCACTTCACGTTTTACCTTTTCACCCCACTTTCTAGTCCCTCTTTGAGATATCATCTCCTGCACCTCCTTCCTCCTCCTGCTCCTCTCTCCATCAGTCCTGCACTGCTCCCCACCATCGTCCCTTCACTATGCTTATTCCGTACCTCCAAAGGAAAATCGCAGCCAAGCCAAAATTCTGCTCACTCCTGGCTGCGTTACCATCCCCTCCCTCATGACCCAAGGTCATTGTGACCTGGTACTGCTCCCTTCCCAGCCCCTGCGCATGGATATTTCTGTCTGTAGCAGCACCCCTACCCTGCCATCCATCGTAGCCCTACACGCATGAAGTACAATTTCCAAACATACCCATAAGATTTATTTTCTCAAATTCCTCATTTTGGAAAAAGGATCTTTGGCTCTTAGCAGCTTCGGTTTCATTGCAAGTTGATGAAAAATGAACTACAAAATACCCCGTGGCTGGATTTTCAAAGCTATTCAAGCATGCACAAAATGGCCTCAGGGGCCCAGCTCAATTTTCAACCATATGTGGGCCAGCTAAGTTGGCTTCTTGAAATTTCTCTAGGCTGGTCTTGTTAAAGATCTAAATACATGTGAAAATTTGGCCACAGGTTCCCTTTGAGGCGGAGGGAAGAAGAGGAAAATATTCTGACTTTCTAAAAAACTTACATGCTTTAGTAAAATATACTGCTGGCTTCTTAATCCTAAAAATAACTAACTTCTCTGTATTCACAGTGGCTACACTAAAAGCCTATTGGTACCCCTTTGGGTCCTTGAAATACCCTCTCCTGAGATAGTTTATGCCAAGGATAAAAAGAGCCTCTGGGCCAGTCACTATGGCATGCTTTTCCCATTTTTCCCCTGTTAAGCTCACCTCAGCCTCCCATAAAGACAATTCTTGGCCTCTCCCTGTCACTCCAGAGATCCAGGTGGGATCTGTGCCCCCGTACCCTGATGGCACCAGCGTACACTGTGCACCAGTGTCTACCAAAGCCTTATACTTTTGTGGGTCTGATGTGCCAGGACACTCAATCCACACAGTACAGTATATCTGGTCATCCCCTTCCTCCTCCTGGCTGACGACAGAGACTTATTGCTTTTCCTCATCAGAATATTCAATGTCTGACCCTTGCAGCGCCAGACCAGGAGTTCCATCACCAGGATCAAGGGAGGTGATCTCAGTTCTTCTATGTCTGGGAGACTGCTGATTGCCTTCTTGTGTCTCTGCAGCAACTAAACTGACAGCCTTCTTGGGTGACCCTTTTTTTAACAGCCATCTTCCCTCTCAGTTCATGTACATGGGCTTCCAGCTTAAAGGTGGGTTTGTCATCCCACTTCCTCATGTCCTCCCCCAGTCACACAAGAAGAACCAGAGTGTGCCACACGGCATGTGCCTGGAGCTCCCTTGCCCTCTTTCCCCCTGACCAGGGCAACAGAGATTTCTTGGGGTGCCCCTGACAGCCAAGGTGCAGGCCCTTAGGGATGAGCAGGGACAGAGATTTTCTTCAAAGTTTTGGAGCCAAGAAGACACTCTTTCCACTGTTGGTATATCCGTATCCAGGTAATACAGCACTGCCAAGCTCTTAGAATATGACACTGAGGCACTCTGAATCACCTTCCTCCACATGGCTCATGTTCATAGGACATCCTCTGGATCTTTGAGACCTCATCATTGTCTAGATCATTGTAGATGACTTCCAGCATTGCTAATTCTCTCAGGTACTGGATGTTGTCATCTGTGGTAGTCCACTCTCCCGGGAAGTACCTGAGATCTACCTTGAATGGATATCTTGCCCTCACACTTGAGAGGAGTTATATTGAAAGACTGCCAATTGCTGCCTCTTTTCCAATTCCCTTCTCAATTCCCCAGTTTCTAGCAAGGGATCCCAGCTGTTGGGCTTCCTTTCCTTCCAATTGCTGACTGTTGGCCCCATTATCCCAGCATTAGAGCAGCCAGGCAGCAATCCTCTCACCTGGCTGGCAGGGGTAATCTTTCCACATGTCTCAAAGTTCTGATGAGGTCAGGGACTGTGTAGTTTCCCCTTCCTGTGTAACTTCTCTCCTTCCAATTTCTTTGTCTAAGGACTGGCTTCTTGATTAAACCTTTCTTCTTCCTTCTCCCTTACTAATCAATGATATGGACCCTTTTTTTCCCTTGTCCGCTCTTTCTTTTTCAGTACTGGGGCAATTACTGTAGTTGTTGTTTGGGTCCCTGCCTCAATCACAGTTCAGAGTACTGAACTGTGGCTTGGTAGGCTCAGGCCAGGCCCCAGTACAGTGCTAGAGGCTGCTGGTTTTCATTGGGGTAGGCCAGGCACCCTTCTATCAGGTGGCACATCAGTTTTCCAGGGTTACTTGCCTCTTCAGGTGTAAAGTCCCAGGTTATGGGAAGTGATATCTGCCCTAGGAACCTGCCCAAATCCTTCCACACACCCTGCCACCCAGGGACAGGCCACCTCAGAGCACATTTCAGTATTGCCTCACCCAAAAGTTGTCTTGTTTTACACCAGGATGACACCAGATTTCATAAAACCCATAATACGCCAACAGTATTAATTAGTAGTATTAAACAGTAAGGGTGATTAAGGACCTCAGGAAGCTGCATAATGAAATCATCTGCATCAATCCTGGGTAGGGAGGGGTAGATGTATTCCCTCAGCCTCCCCAGAAGACATCTCTCCTGGCACAGGGAGACCATCAATGCCGGGGCAAAGCACATAGTTGCTATTTGTATTAACATGTTCCCAAGCTCAGCAAAATAAGAAATAAGGAGCACAGCCAACAAACTCCATGACCCACACAAGAGTCTGTGACTTAAAAACTACTATAGCTATAGCATGCTTAATACAAAACTGCCGTTGTCTCAAGCCCCATACTGGGCACCAAAAAGGACCGTGTGGGTTGATCTTGGCTGAACGCTAGGTGCCCTGGTCACAGAAAAACTTGTGGGTCAAGATAAAGGCAGTTTAATAAAGCAAAAGCAAAGGCTGTGCCCAGAAACAAATAACTACTTCCCATCAGCAGGTGATGTCTGGCCACTTCTTTGCAAGCAGGGCTTCAGTACACATAGCAGCTGCTCCCGAGGATAAAGGTAATAACAAATGTCCCCCCTCCCTTCCTTTCTCTTAGCTTTTATCACTGAGCAGATGTCATAGGGTGCGGAATATGCTTTTGGCCAGCTTGGGTCAGTTGTCCTGGCCATGTCCCCTCCCAAGAGCTTGCTGACCCCCAGCCTGCTGGTGAAGGGGGAATGTTGGAGAGACAGCCTTGATGCTGTGCCAGCACCGCTCAGCAGTAGCCAAAACACTGGTGTGTTACCAACACCTTCCTAGCTACCAGCACAAGCACAGCACTATGAGGGCTGCTATGGGGAAAACTCACTCCATCACAGCCAGACCCAATATATCCTCTCAATGGGACCACACTATAAAAGAACACTGATATTAAAAGAAGAAAAAGCTCTAGGGCCTTCCTCAGCCATACGGTGCGTAACAACAGTGAGGTAATCTTACACAGGTAGGAAGAGACACAAAATAATTCTCAGTTGGCTGTATTTATTGAAGTCCATCTGGTGGGTTTAGTTTAGATATCTCTAGAGCAAATAGTATAATTTGAGGATGACTGGTTTGGGAGTCTACTTAATAGGCAGAGCTGGATTGCCCTCTGGATGTTCTGACACGTTCTCCAGAGACTGGTACTTGTACTTCTCACCTTTATTAGCAATATTCATGTAAAGAAGACTGAATAATAGAAGGCAATACAATCTGAGAGGGCAAATTCCGACAGTAAGCAGTGACCAAAAGCAATTGTAGCTCTTCCTCCAGCTAGTTCTACTTAGGGATTGCCATTTCCTCTGTCTCTCCTGGCTGCTAAGCTATTACAGAAATATAACAATCTCCAAATGAGGAGGAAAAGTGTGAAGGAGAAAAAAAATGCAGACACAAACCTGTATTAGCAGAATCTTGCTTTGACTGTTAACACACCACTCCTAGCTCTGTCAAATTCCAACGCAGTGGTCTCATCTCTTCATGGTACCTGAAATAGCACCAAAATAATTAATTGTCTCTCTCACATTGGATGACTGAAAGAATTGAGCATACTTTTTTTTAACAAGCCTGATTTTACTGGGTTATGCAGCTTATATTTTATCTTAGTGCTACCTTTATCAGAAAGATATGCATCTAAATAAACCTTCTCAATTTTAACCTAAAATGGAAAATGCTGGTGCTTTTTATATTGATTGTTTCTCCAATTTTAAATATGCATAATTGACATAATTGGCATAAATAGAAATAATTTACAGAAGCAGCTGTCACTTTGCAAACACTGTTTGTATATTGCCTTTGTATACAACCTAATAATAAGCAAGGCTCTAGAAGTGTGCACAGAACTGAAAATGGATCAACTGTGCCATAAAAATAATAGGTCATTGCCCCAAGTGGCTAAACTTCGGAAGGATCATGATGGTGCAGACAAGCAAACAGAATTACTGAGTCACTAAGTTATTGTGCAGATTCAAAGGCATTCTATACACTTTGAGTGTACAGCCGTGGTCTCCTCAGCAAGAAGCGTGCAATTCTGAAAACCAAAATGCTCTCAGACCAATTGAGAAGGATGTTTTTTTCTTCTGAGCTTTTCCGCTCAACAGAAATTTTGTGCTGAGTTTACCTTCTATATAATATTAGCCCATCTTGAATTTTTCCATTAAATATCGGCAGAAACAATTGTAAGAAATACCAGAAGTCCTGTATTAAAAATGAGCAAATCTCTGTTCCTCCCTTCTGTTATTAAGTTCTTATGACTTGAACTTAATATATTATTTTAAAAACAACCTGATGCTCATCCAGCCATCTGGCATACACAATAAACTGGAGTTAGAAAGGTCATGGAGACTCTGGGGCTTGAGCACAGAACTTTCAGAATTTCAAATATGTAAAAAATTAAAAGCATCTGTGCAATGCAAAATTCTTTCAAGCTGTGTACCAAGATGTAAGACTTTACCGTCTACAAAAAAGTATACACTGCTCCCCTATACCACCACTACACTGCTGGACTTAATCTGGCTATTGTAGCTCAAGGTATTTTTCTCTGTAACAGCAGAGATAGCATTTGGGACAAAAACCTGAAAAACTTCTCTTACATCTGTAAATGTAAGCAAACTTTTTGTTCACATTTCACCCTCACATATGTAATAACATATTATTAATAATCATATCTATTGGTATAGCCAGCAGATTACTTCAACCATTCAGACATTGTTGTAAAATAGATCAGTATCTTTCAAAGATAAGAAGTACCCTAACTTCAGTATAGTAATCCTGAAACAAACTATTTCAGACAGTGGTGAACCAGACCTGAAACCTTGCTAGATACAATTTAGTAGTATGACATTTTTATTTAATAGGCAATAAGCATTTTGTGTGTATGTATTTATGTGAAATATAATTTGAACTCTGTCTTCAGAATCATCTGCCGTCCAATGTAAGAAAGACATTTTCCGTTTTTAAAGTTCTTTAATGTCCTTTAGGAAAAGATAAATCCTCAAGTCTGCTTTCGCCCCATGCCATGCACTACAAAGTGAGCACTTCTTCTTGATCAACTTTAATCACGTGAAAGAGATCTAAATCCTAAGCCCTATTTAACATCAGTTTTGAGGGCTCTGCTTCCTTCAAACAGGATCACTTGTGCTGATCCCCTCCTGTGCAGACCTTGCTTTATGGGGCTGAGAAAAAGCCAAATGTCAGTTGATTACAGTCAGTGATGCTGGTGGAATTGTGTCTGTTTATATCAGTTGAAAAGCTGCATCTCAGGAGTCTGACCTTTTACAATGGAAAGTTGTTCCTTAAAATACTGCAGGTCTGCATTAGAATATTTTAAGAAGTTGTTTGGCTCTTAGCAGGTTTTACATTTGCCATTTCAGTATTCTCTACTCTATGGGTTCCTGGAAAGAACGTAATATTTCTTATATGAATAGTTGTTCCCATAATTGGAACTACCAGTAATTCTATGCTTTCAGGAAACAGTAACGATCTGCCTCCAGCCAGTTTCCCATTTCATGACATCTCCATCACTGCATCTCCTCTGGCTCCTGTTTTGTGAATCACAGTCTTGGCTGCATAGAATAGTGTCTGTCACAGCTTGCCAAAAAATGAGTGTGTTTTCTATTAATAATATAAGATGAAATAACATATTTATTGCTTTTCTTGACACTTTCAGGGGAACACTTTGTTTTAAACTAGACAAGATTCTCACTTTTCCTTCTCTTATTATTCCCACTGTAAGAAAATGGGAGAGAAGCAAGAATTTACATTTTTGTCTTTTTATAAAAACAATCTTTTGTTGGAGTTTATTTCTCCTTTCCCTCCAATAAAAGCAAAATAAATATTTTTGTGTAGATGGAGAAATTATGTGAAAAACTGTGTTAGTTATGAAAATGTCAATCTTAACCAAAATTTGGAAATATTTTCAGAAAGTTTGCTCAGTTGATATCAAACTTGAGGAATTCCACTGATTTGCACGTGGATTCAGCCTTTGTTGTGCCTACTTCCTCTTTCAATTTGAAATGTGAAAAAGTTTCGGTTTTTCTTGTAATTTTGTTTGCTATTTTTGTACGTTTGACATATTTTAATATGTTCTCACTCTTATCTCTGGCTATCCAGGAATAAGACTGATTCTAAGCCACTTGTAGAAATTTAAATATTTTTAATTATAGAACAATATAATTTGAAGATTTGAGAGGAGAGTGTCATAACTCCTTCCTGCTGCCTTGGTTTGTACATGGTCATTTTTAAAGTAGGTTATTAATATTTTATGCCTTTTTATACTGAAATAATTTCTCAACTATTTAAAATGTTTTGAAGCTAGAATTTTAAATGCAGTGACAGGAATTGCTGTAGTTTTATTTTCTTTCTAAAAAAGAAGTTCCAAATCCTTAGGGTTTCCTAATTAAGAAAAGCTGTTGGAAGGGTAA